TGGTACGCGGATGATACACCTTATCATCGATGGTTTTACGACGAGTGAACATGAAAAAAAATCCGATAAAACTTTTGCGTTCTCTTGAGCGCAACCAAAATTCAGAGACTTTTTGTTTTCCCATTTTGTTGATCTTCACCCTACACCGGTTTCCGGTATGGGTATGTTCTTCTTCTTTTTCACTTTTTTCCCAAAAACAATGTGTATTAAAATTGTTTTTAAATAAATCATTCAACATTTAAAATTCATATATACTCTCTCATTTTGGCTGTGTTTTTTCTACTTACAACGTTGTTTTGAGAAGTTCCGAATGAATTTTAGCCACACCATTAACCGCTGAAAGAAGAGAAGAGAAAATTATCTCATGTGGTCTCTTATTGAAATAGTTTAGATGTATTACCGTGAGATCCGACTATTGCTAAATAGGCCATATTTATTCGTTTTTCACCACCCTCTTCAACAATCGACAAAATTCGTGCACGATCAAAATCATTAGGATACCGTTTGGTTACTTCCTAAACGTAATAATTGATATTAAATTCGAATATAATAAAAAAGATCAATTTCATACTTGCAAATGTCGGTAATTAATTTCATAAATAATTTGTAAATGTCTTGGTAATAATCGTTCTAACATTGAAACTGGTAATCTTTCAACAGCTTCTGGCATTAGAGTATGATTTGTATAAGCGCATGTGCGTGTGGTAAGATCCCAAGCTTTATCCCATGGTAAGTTTTCATCATCAAGAAATAAACGCATTAACTCAGCTATTGTCAATGCTGGATGAGTATCATTGAGTTGAATAGCAACCTTGAAAAAAAACGATAAAAAATATTTTAATTGAGAAAGACGCTATTTCTTCAAACTATTATTACCTTTTCTGGAAATGTGTCAAATTCTGTTCGAGTTGAAGTCTGTACACCAAACTTTGAGTGCTTATAACGTCGAATAATATCGGCGAGTGTTGCGGCTACAAGAAAATATTCTTGTTTTAATCGTAATTCTTTTCCTTCCTGATACTAGAAATAGAATAAGAGGATAGGGAGTATTAAACATATTTGGAAAAAATAGATCATAGCAGTCATGAGAAAATAGTTCATCAGATCTATTGTACATTCGTGGTACATACGGTGTTAGCTCATTCGAACATCTTTAACGTTTATTACTTGAGTTTTAATTGGTCTCTTAGTTTTCTTAACTTTTCTGTAGTACTACGATTTTAAATACATCTGATGATAATGTGGTTAGCGAACAGAATAAGAGCATCATATACAAATCATGATCATATACGATCATATCATTGTACGAATCGTTCATTAGATTAGAACTGTTTTAGTTAGATTGTGTACGTACATGTTGGAGACAAACTTCAAATTTGAATTTTGACTGAAGCTTTCGAAGTTTGTCCGCAAAATATACATTGTTCGAATATGTTCTGTATTACCGAAGCATTTCATGTATATAAGTGATAGAAGTTTTTTACTTGCATACATTATCATTTGGGTATAGTACTCTCGTTATATTTTCAGCCAAACTTTGTTCGCTAACTGCATGCATATAGTCACCATCATTGACTAGAATTGAAAGAAGAACAGCAAATATACTATGACTGGATTCGATAAGGTTTTAATAAAAAAAAACTCACAAAACTGAAAATTGAATTTTTTTGGTGCTTTAGCCGACCATAATCTTAATGTATTGACAACGTTGTTTTTGTAACCAGGAACTGGAGTGTCATAGGGCATTGCCATGATAATCTACATGAAATAAGAAAATATTAATAGTGGAATGAAACAAACGTTTATCTCCCGAGTACTGACGTTTGTATCAACCCATTTCTTTTTTCCGTTTTCTTCAACTACATGACCATATAAATGAACGGGAATTTGATATTCTGGTCTAGGAATTTCCCATGGATTTCCATAACGTAGCCTGAATTTTAAATAATTTTAGAATGTATATTTGTTACAAACGAACCTCGATTGTTTACCAATCGTCTGGCTCTTCACATTGAAATCCATCTTTGATTGTTTGTTGAAATATACCAAATTCATACCTGTCAAAGAAAATCAAACTTCAAGCAAGATATGCGCCATCTAAAAACCAGTCTACCGAAGGCCATAACCATATGCAGCAAGCCCTAAGGTTGCCATTGAATCAAGAAAGCATGCTGCCAAACGTCCTAAACCACCATTTCCCAGACCTGCATCTTCTTCAAATTCTTCGAGTTCTTCTATAGATAAACCTAACTGAAAACATGGAATATAGACATTAAAGAGAAATAAACACTATTAAGTCATATTTCTACTTACCTCATACACTGCTTCATCCATTTCGGTCTCAATTCCCAGATTAATCATTGTATTCGATAGACTTCTACCAATATAGTATTCTAAACTCAGATAATACACACGCTAAAATGAAAAATAAGTTGCTGGGTAGTCTTGTACTCTCATTCTATGTTCGTGTGTTTTTCGCGTTTTCTTACTTTCGGATCTTTATCATAATAGTGCTGTTGTGTTCGAATCCATCTTCCGACAAGATGGTCACGAACAGTATACGCAATTGAATTATAATAATCTCGACTTGTCGCCACATTTCGATCTTTGACAATTGTAAAATGTAAATGACGATTAAACGTTTTCTTCACTGCTGCCACATTTTCTATTAACGGTAATCCACGTATACTAATTTGTCTTTGTTTATCTTTATCTTGGTCATGCTTTTCTTCTGCAGTAGGCATTGTTATTCTAAAGTATTTTACCCCAAGTTAAGTTCCTTGTCAGCGTGGTGACTCGAGTCACTAAAAAAGTCGAATCGCGAACTCGCGATGTAATGATGTAAGATCTATGTTACTCTAGTGAATGTGCCTGAACCAAGTCTTTGTGCAAATAATTGAATTAAGTGATGAGGACAGTGCTTGTAGATTTCTTCAAGTAAATTTGCTTGTCAAGTACTTGTTCAAGCACTTGGCTGCACACAGTGCAAGTAAATTCACTTGGCGAACTTCAGCCTAGTACTTGTTCCATCTATCTATCTTTCTGCAGTCATATTCTACTTGTATAGAGCAGACGTATGCATGGCTACCAAGTTTGTTCAACTCAGTAGAAACATCGAAATTTATTTTCTAAGTTTATACTGATCAATATTGTGACGTTCATATACGACTGATCAAAATATAAAAGAAAAGAGTGACTGACTCGTTCAAGTACTTGACTGAAGTGAACCAAGTGACGATACTTGGCGAGTACTTCGACAAGAACTTGAAAAGTAAAAACGCTTGCTAAGTCTTGTTCAAATGCTTAGTAATTGAGGAAACTTTCAAGCATTTTTCAAGTACTCAGCAGGTAATCAAGTACTTGCATCAAGTACATTCACTAGGGAAGCTTGACATGATCGCTTTTTCCCACCGCGACTCGTATTCGTTTCTATTTTTTATAATCAAAATTTGACAATTAAAATCAAAATCAAGGCTAACATTTGTCAATCTGGCTGAGACGTGACACAACTTCAGAAACTCGCTATCACGACGTGTTTTTAAAACTTCAAAAAACTTTTTTATCGCGAATCACTATAGCAAGCTACGGTGCGACTTCGCGATTGCTATAAGAAAAGTTGTCGTATCGCGATCACAAATTATCAATCTTTCGAAAACTAAGAGCTCGCCGCGATCTCGCTTCAACAATCACAAGGTTTTTAGCGATCACGCCATAAGAACCACGTTCGCTCCGTAAATAAGGCCAGAATGTAGAACTGGAACAAGTTACACTATGTCAGCCAGAACATTTGAATCATGAATAGTTAATTCATCTCTATTATCTTAATGTGTGGATGCATCCTTAATCATGATTAAATTAAATCACGTTCGGGATATGATTAACACTAATTAATATTAACATACGAGTTGAACGTCTATAAAGGAAACTGAAAATAGTCGGCAGTAGTTCATACACACTTTGCTAAGCTCTATATTCTCATGTGGTGACCATTATGTGCAATAATATTGCTAATCATCTGAATTGTTCTTCTCATGTCTGCCTCTTTTCAATTCAGTTCCGACTTGTGCTAACAACCAATTAAATAAATCCTTTAATTCACGAAAATTTTCACAAAATTGTTTGTGGATAAGTTTTGAAACATTATCTTCAAAAAACACCGTGTTATAATCGGTTGGTTGTTGTTAAACATTATAAAACAGGTAAAAATAACGAAATATTTGATGAATAATGATAACTACCTACTTTAAAAATATTAATACATTTTTTCGACATTTAATAATATTATAGGACGTTAATGTGTTCAGCATTTATAAAATAGAATTTTATGAATGAGTCTTCATTCATGGTTAAATATATGTACATGGTACGTCTTAATTATTGAAATATACGTTAATTATTATTAATTGTGATTAAGAATGAATGCATCCACATAAGAGAATATGTAATGATAATTAACTTTTATACATGATTTATGTGCTCGGACGGACATAGTTTTAGTTAATGAGTTTCAGTTTACACATATGTATACTCATTCTCAATTATTTTTATATAATTTACACGTTATGTATTTAAATTAATTAATTTAAGTTCATTTTCTCAAGACCAAATGAATTTTAATAAACAAAAAATCTTTTGACGAAGAAAAAATAAATTATTGTTTTATACGATAAGAGTGTAATATCTAAGTTTCCGACTGTCATTATTCTCACAAACATACAAAAAAATATATCAATACTATTTATGGTTCGCAAAGATATTCTGCTTTTTTCTAGCAGGAAACAACAACATGAAAGGAAAGAGAAATATGTACAATCATTTTTGCTTTTCTCTGTTGTCTTCTTCATTTTTTCTCTAGTAACTGTAGTACATTTTGAGGGTAGATAGGACTTAGACGTTGAATGCAGTGGATATATTTTTGTTAAGAAACAACACACAAAAAGAAAACGAGAAAATAATCATCTCTTCTTTAAATGATAGGGACAATAATGCACAATTTTTTCTTTTATACATGTAGTTTATTATTAATTATATACATACATATGTTTATCGTTCGCAGTGTACCGTACTAGTATCATATCGTTTTCCATAACTGTACAATTAATTCTAGCATCTGATCCAACAGAAATTATAATATAAATTTCAAGTTCTTTTATTGAAAACAAATCTTTTAGACACGTCTCTCACAACAAATTTCGTGACTATTGGAAAATACAAAATAAAAAAGCAATCAAAGAATAAATAATAATAATGCATCAACATAAGAAAACACATGCGTGGACGGAAAAGAAAAAAATATATGAAAAATAGAAAAATGAAAATTATCTGTATTAGAAGTTTGCTCTACGAGAGTTAACTTATATACGTATGTTCACAATTTAAATTTACTAAATTTCAAATAAATATTTATTTTCATTAATAATTTTTTTTAGAAGTTTTTTCCATTTCCTCCCATTGTTGTAGTACATCAACTTTTCGATTTTTAGTATGAGAAAAAAAGTCTAATTTTTCTTTCTTATTATTTTGAATAAAGATGGCATATTGTTTCAATGATTGATAATAATCTTCTTGATCAAATATGAACATACATCTACCAATTTTGTACAAACGCACTGGCCAATATGCCCATTTTTGATGCTCATCAGTTATTTGACACAGTTCTTTCTCATCAATGTCCCATCCCCAACTCAAACATACAAGTTTAGCACATTGACGAAGATCTGATATAAACTTTTCATTTGTTTGTAACTAAATATTCAAAAATAATTTGACTTAATTTAGATTCAAGTCACTAATTTAAGTCGACTAAATAATGATTTAAAACAGAACTAAATTACTTCAGTGATATTATCATCCGTTAATTGATACATGCAACCACGAGAACTTCGTTCATTCACAGGAAATGCCCACCAATCATCTGAAGAAAAAAAAGATATAGATTTTTTTTTTACTTAGCAAAAATGAACTGTTACTAGGGATATCGAGCTAAATATGAAAAAGGATTCGAATTATCTAATTCATTATCTCTTTAAAATTTTATAATTCTGGTATAAAATAGATCTTTCCGAAGTTATACTGTCAATATCATAATGATTCATGCTTACAATGATGATGATGAAATGATAACCAATCTCGTTTGCTAAACCACTGGTTAAACTGATCTAGTTGTGTTCTATGTTGTTTCAATAAAGATGGTATTCCAATAAATTTGTCATAAGATGAAGGCTCAGTACTCTTCTCATCATTACCATCGTTGAAATGTTCATCATGTCCAGCACTTGCTATCATTATTTTGATTTGTGAAATGTCAAAAATAATAATTACCTAAACAAGAGAAAAAACATATAATGAACAAAGAAAAACTAATTGCAATATGGCAAATCGAAAAGTGGACAGACTTAGATTTTCATTTGTAAAATTGGGCAGAAAATTATCCTTTTATGGTTGTGAGAAATGTTTTTCTGACTTTAGATATTTATCTTATCTATGCATGTCAAGAAGACCGATCATCTTCATGTCAAATAGACTTTATAAAAGGATCAGAGATGTTTATGAATGTTAGCATCTGTTTCAGCTAGATCAATTTCTTCGTCTTATGACTATTAAATCGAGAATTGTGTCTAGAATCCTAAATACTTCGTTCAAAATAGCCTTGAAACGGTTCATTATTCTAAACTATGTTTGTTTGTTTTAAAACAAAAGTCAACTTTAAAGAATTTCATTATTTCATTGCTTTTTTCTCACATACTTTGTTGTTTTATCTTGTCTTTTGCCCACCCTATAGAAGATTTGTTCAAAAACAAGAGAACAAGTTGCAAACAATGTGTATGAACTTGAATGAAAAACTGTTCACACTGTGTATGCAAAATGTATAATACACACTTTAGATTCTATATGTGTAGTTTACTTTCTCATAGAGAAAAAACTCGTTCATTATATACCTATGAAAAAATAACAAAACAAGCAAAGAAAATTCTCACTGCTTTTTCTTTCTTTTATATGCAGGACTCAATAGAAGGAGGAAGACTTTGTTTCAGTTGATGAGAAGAACATAACTCTAGTATTATAAGAACTAGCTGCCAAAGAGAGTTCACTCAATCACATAGTAATCTTAGCATAAGAAAAAACCAAAAGGATTAGAGTGAGCATTGTTGCAGATTCCGTCATCAGTCAATAGTAGAGAAAGAGAACATATCTAGAAATCGAATTTAGCAAAAAAAAACAAAGGACGAATAGATACAAAAAATAAAAGAAACACTCGCACACACAATCATACACTCTCACATACACACGCGCACAAAAAACGAATAAAATTTGTTGTAATTTCTTGGATAGTGTCGTTTATTTCAAAATTTCAAAATGTATCTAATGAATTATCGTCTATTGTCGTATTTGTACTAGTATTAGTCGTATTTGATGGATTTTGATTTAAATTTGTTGTTCTAGAAAATTCCTACAAAAGAAAACAAAATACAAATTAAACGAAGTGTTTACTAATTATACTAAGTAGATTTGGTTTAAAAAAGATATTGTATAAAACTTTGAATGATCTATAAGACAAAGTAGCTCTGATAATTCTATCGAGCACCAGTTTGATGCTTGAAATATTTGTGTAACGATTATTTTTCGATTGTTGATTGTGCTATATATATAGTTGAACAAAACTCACTTCGACAGACACAATCGGATAATTCCTCCACTCAGATCCATTTGACATAGAGTTTCCATCTGAATAAACTAAAAGTCAAAACTCGCTACATATAAATTGATTTTTGATGAAAAAATGATTGTTAGCATACTTGAATGAATTTTGGGCATTTGAAATGGATTTATATTGTTGCTATGATTGTGTTCTGACGTCGAAGAATGTATCACTGGATTATATGATAAGTTTGATTGTTGTCCTGTCATCATATTGTCATCATTATCATTAATACTATTTCCTCCCAATGCACTCAACTGCTGTGTAATTCCAAGTAAACCTCCCTCTTCTACACTTGCTATCAACCATATTGGATCTAAATATAAACGAGAATATGATAGGACTATCAAATATTTAAACTAAACTATATTACCTCCAAATGGTACGCCAGCTGGTGTAAATAATCTCCATTGTGATTTATAGATTCCTGGTATTACTGGACTAGTCATATCGATTGATACATTCGTTTGTTGATTAGGGGCTAACAAACCAACATAGGTTTCATCACGTTCTTGTAAACGATCACCATTAACAAATTTTAATACACACGAAGATGGCCATGGTTCACTACCTATAACAATATTCACTAATTAATATAAAATATAAATTTTATGCACATAGACACATATACCTGAGTTTTCAATTCTCCATGTTTTTGTGAATCGTGTACTCGGTGGTACTGCTTCTCCTTCGCCAACAGTTACATCAGCTACAAATTTCATCATTGGAAACTTATCAGAGGGCTGTTCAAAATCATAATAGGCAACAATTGCGGCATTTAAATTCCTAACATGAAAAAAGAGAATTCAGATAGATAGATCATTTTCTATCGAGTTTTTCTTGTATAGATTAGAAGTATTTGAGATCCATTTCATGTATAAGACATGCAACTATGATATCAGTTTGAAGTTGAGAAATAATGTTAGACTTTGATAAAAAAGAAACAAAAAAAAAGACGTGACAACTCTTTACCAATTATTCATATCGAGAAAAAATCCAATTCCTTCATTTGTTAATTGTGCATTTGTTAAAGCTCTAAATTGATTAATTAGGTGTTCTCTATCGTCAGTTGTAAATGAACGAAAACTTTCAAGAAATTTTGCATCCAAAACAGATGTTCCACCAGGAGTTGGCGCTGCCGTCGATTCAGAATCAACATCCATTTAATCTGAAATAATGTAGACAAATAAACAACTTTATTTTATTTATATCACAAGTATAAAGTGCTGTGACTGGTAATAAAAGTATGGATAAATTATCAATCCGATACACATGATTGAAAATCGTTTTTAGAAGAAAAGTTATGAATGAATTGTGAGTTAGTTATTTCTTTTCATTCAAATTGAACAGCAGACATTTCCGTTAGTCTTTTTGGCTATCATATCCGTCTTATCAAGACGTTATGTATTCACTTTAGCAATTTAAACTTCTATATTCAAATTACAAATCAAACATCGTTTCTAAACTGAAGTATTTGTTGCGCAAAAGAGATCTTAGCAAAACACAATATAATTTCTCAAAATCCACGATGGTCTTATTGTCGAATTTTTTCAATTTATAAATAATCGCTTATATTATAATTTTATTCACCAGAGAAGAAAAAAACAAAATGACTCTTTTGCTTTCTTCAGATCTACTAATACAATATAGACATTTGACACGTGTAAGAATAGTAAAAAAAAGGCTTTAGTATACAGAACAGAAAAGAAATGAAAAATCATCGATAGGGACAGGTAAAATGTGGTAAAACTGTATATAAATGTAATGCAATTACACATTATAAGAGGATATTGATGAACGGATTCAAAAAATAGATTGACTAAATTTAAATGAGTTGTATTTTTCATATGATTGACATTTGACGATTATACGTTCTCTTTTTCAACAATCAACAAGGTACAATCCGACAAATTTTAGATAAAAAATAATCATGTAACACAATATTTTTCGATAAACGCTGATAGTTTCAATGGTTGATACCGAATCATGAGAAAAAAATATTATAGAGATATTTATGAGTTACGTAAATTAACCGAGAGCGAGGAAAGTATAAATCAAGAAAGAAGGTAATACATTCGTAATTTGTGAGTCTTAGTGTTAGTTATGTTCAGGAGTTTGACTATAAACGCATCTCATTCAGAAAGCTCTGCAATACTTGTTTCATATCTTTAAATAGATTGCAAAAATAATTCTACCCATCATCCATATTCACAGCTATCGAACGATGACACGACTAAAATTTCAAAGGTAAGTTAAAATCAAGACGATACGAGGAAGCCTTGAGCATCTGTAAGAAGTAAAGGAGACAGCGCTGAGCTGATTGACTCCACCCATCATAAATAAACTGCACTTTTAATATTCGGTCAGTTATCTGACAAAATCATGTTTTAGGTTAGAACTTCATTCGTGTATGGCGGCTTATTCCCACCAATTAATTTTCTTCTCTCACACAAACTGCAGAAACTGTTCTATTTTAACAGTAGATAGTCTTTACTTTTCCTACAGCAAGGTATCACGTTTCAGGTATCCTTCGTTACTTTGATTTATTAATATCAACACAATCATACATATTTCTACGGATAATAATAATATAGATTTGGAAGAATATCAACACAGTAGAGACAAAAGAAGCACAGTGTATGACATTAATGGATGATGCTATAGCCAAAACCAGGGCTGACGTTACTGTGTGTGTGTGCGACCTCCCCTCCCCCCAGATAGAAAATCCTCGATTTTTCTCAGCAGAAAAAAATAATTTTCTTGCGTTCTTCGAAAAAAAAGTCTTATCTCAGTGGAGCACCCCCCTCCCCCAAGTCTGACTGATCACGACAACCCTGGACAAAACACATGAAATATTCGATATCATCTTAGCAATAAACTTCTCACACCGAACAAAAGTTCGCACCTAAAGTTTAGCAAAATATTTCTCGATTAAATGAGCTAATATGTCTGATGAAATCAGACATATTAGACACCTTTCTAAAACACCTTTCTAAACACCTTTCTAAAACCTAATACATATTTTCACTAATGTCGAGCAAAAACATATTCACTACCAATAAGAACGATCTTTCTCTAGATATTAGAGTAAATGTTTAGAGTAAACAACTAGAAAAATGTCGTCGAAATTTTCTCGTAGGGCAGATTGTCAACAAGAAGTTAGAGAACTTTTTTCACAGGGAAGAAAGACTGGTGTGAAAAATAAAATTTAGCTCTGTATTTGGAAAAGGTGTGCCTGATGTGTCGTTCAATGAAAACCTTTTCAACATTTTGAACTTTTCAACGATTTGAACTGATTGCGAACGAGATATTATTATTTTACTCTCGCAGGTATATAGTTCAAAATTGCTTCTTTTTCTCAAAACAACTTTTCACAAAGTTTTTTGTCATTTCTTCTTGGCTGCCATGATATCCAAAATGATCAATAACCGACGTTTTCATTCGTTTTCTGGATGATCCAAATTCGATTCTCTAGTTTGAAGGAAACCTGATGCCAATCGTAAACACTAATAGATAAAAAGTTTAGTTTTACGTGGATGACCGTCTGTTGGTTGGAATTCACTTTTGAGGATCAAAAATCTTTTTTCATTTTGTCAAGTGGCATCTCTGTCCTTGAACGACATGTCAACTACACCAATTTTAGATGGACGTCTGAGTACTATTTTCCCATACGTTTATGCAGTTAGATTTTTTTCTGGCGATAGTAAAAAGATCAGATTTTTATCTTTTTTTATCAAACATTATTCAAATAATATTCAATGACACTATGTTTTGAAATAGTTGTATATCATGATTTTATCTGCTGATAATCACTGATGCAAAACAAAAAAAAAGAAAAGATTAATTGTACGAATTAATATGAACACACCTTGCAAAAAATGGTATCAAACAACCATGGATGATTAAGCGTAAACAAAATCATCACTGAATTATATAAGATAATAATAAAATTATACAATATATATAATAACGTGACTGCAGTGGAAAAAAACCGCCTTATTTTATGCCATTTATAAATATCAGAGGACATTAATAAATTATCTTAACAAACAATAACAAATACAAGATCAGGGACGCAGCTAGCATCTCAGAGCAGGGATGTGGTCTATAAACAAAAATATTTTGTACTTACAAAAAAATGTGTTCTTAAAGAACGAAAAACACAAAACACTGACTTTTCTGAGGTCAGGAGGGGTGACAACCATCCTTCACCAACACTCAGTAGGTACGCTCCTGTACAAGATAGATAACATTGGCAATAAAGTAGTCTCACAATAGTCTAGGGTGATAAACATAAACGTATAATCTATATCAAGTGGAGTTTAATTTTTCTGATAGTTTAAAAATGTTTTTCAACATTACAGAAAGTAATACGAGGCAAATTTGAACTTTCATTAAATTCATAAAACGTACGCTTCTTTCTAGAGCCTCTAACTTCACACATATCAGGCAAAGAAAAAGATCTTCTTTCTTATGACTTAACTAATTTTTTCAATGCTGCTCATTTTGTGACACCTTATTAGCATTTTTCGCTGGTGTAAACTGTAAATTTTAAAAACAACTTTGATTTCTTGCTATTTTACTAGTTTTTTTTAAACTGAAACACACCATTACGAAAATACCAAGTAAACATCATACAACACTCGTTATAAACGAAAATTGAATTCAATAATAATTTTGTTTTTTAATTGGGCGTGATAATAAGTAAACTTTTACACGAGGATACTGTAGCCTCAAACATATACGAACAGTGATAAACCTTTTTCAAAAGTTAAATGATAGTGGGAATAGGGATGAGCAGTAACGTTGTTACCGATGCTTCGCTAACAACTTCAAATTTTTATCGCGGAAATTTCAAACCGATAAAAAATCTCACAATTTTACCGCAGTAAACTTCTTCTTTTTACCGTTTCCGATGACTACAGACTTTCTGATAATGTATGTAGGTTATTTTTTAAACTACGATGAATCGGTTTATTCATGGAAAAGAACAAGTTAACGTGAATAAGAAACATTCAAAAAGTTTCGATTTACAACTACTTCCCTTCACAGTTTATCTTTGAGAAATATTGAATA